CACAAATCGCGTTTGTTTATACATCATAGAAACGTCCGTGAGACAGTCACAAATCAATCACAGTCAAGGATTTTCCTGGTGGGAAACGTGATTTCAAGGTCAACTGATGAGCCCATGAATAAAATCCAAAATTAAGACATTTATCAAGCGAGTGCTGGGGATCTAACGTCCTTAACACTCCTCCCTTTTTCAATAGCGTGCGCTCCTGAGGTGGACTTGCATCTTGACTGTTTTTAGCTGCTGTCTGAGAGGATACCTTCTAGAACGGAGATCAGCTTGTTGCTGAGTTGGGGCTGCCGGTAGGTTGAAGGTATCTGGCAGGATGTCAAGGGGGAGATTTGTTACTGATGATGGACGATCTGGGGCTAGCCGTTTGCGTATCTGATTTCGATCACCTCTTACCTCTACTTCGTACATAACACTCCCAAATCTTCTGACTACTCGCGCTTTTGTCCGACGACCGTTATTTGTTCTGTAGTCATTCCACTTCGTACTTGGATTGGCTTTCCAACTTTGTCTCTACCAGTGTTGATGCATTACTCGGATGCATCAGGCTATGGATCGTTTTCAGTCTTCTACCAATCAGGATTTCTGCTGGGGACTTTTGCTCCGGTAACAACTCATTTGCTGTTGTTCGATAGACGTGGAAGAAATTTTATAACGCTTCGGTTAGGGGATCTAACGTCCCTAAAAAGCATCTTGTAAACATTCAGTCAGTCAGTTGCAACATAGAACTTCGTACGTATGTACATAGGTTCATGTTGCCATACCACATTAGCACACTCAGAGACGCAAATGTCAAATCAAATCCCATAGTGATAAAGATAGTAGAGGTATTAATGATAATGAAGAAGACAAGGGTTCGAAGATATTATTCAAGAAGTATAATTCAGTCAGATAAGGTTAGAAAGACATCCTAATCCAGAAGATTAGGATTTGAGAGAGCGCAACGAATGGATGCACTTGCGCCATTGCAAACGATTTTGAGCCATGTAATTCAAGGTCTCTAAGCATTGGTGACTATCGTCTCGCGGACCCCAACCAGGTAGTCTACATCTACCAACATGACTCAGTCCACAAGTCAGTGACTTCATGGATTTCTGTCATGTTTTGGTCTGGCTGCCCCTAACTTTCTTCTAACATACTCCTACACCACAAAACATAGCTCGTCGAGGCAGTTGGTAGTTAGGCATTCGTAACACATGTCCCAATCACCTCAACTAATGAAGTTTCACTACTTCATCTATTGATTTGCCATCCCTACCTGGTACTCGTTTCCTAACTACAGCATTGCTTACTCGGTTGTCCCACGATATACGAGCAATGCTTCTTAAACATCTATGATCGAATACTCGTAACCTACGAACATCTTCCACTCTTAACGGCCATGTTTCACAGCCATAAAGGAGAACGGAACGAACTGCTGCGCAGTACACCCGCCCTTTGGTTAGCGAACGGATATCACGCCTACTCCATAAGTGACGCAGGTTGGCAAAAGCCAATCGAGCTTTCTGTATCCGAGCTGAGATTTCGTCAGTCACCAGGCTATCAGCGCTGATGAGACTCCCAAGATAAGTGAAGCGATCAACACGCTCGACCATTTCGCTCCCTATCACTAGTTCAAGTGCCGATGCGACCCAGTCTTGAAGCAACATTTTGCATCTTGTAAACATTAACCCTTTATGTATGTTAGTCTTAAACATAACTTATCCATAAACTTAAAGATGCAGCTAATACTACTTTCTGTATTTTGCTAAGGAATCAATTCAGTTAACAATTTTCGGAAATAAATTAATCAATTCACTACACATTTAACTGCCATCAATAAATAATCTCTTCATCATTTAACGTATATCTATTCATTTTCAAATAGTTATTTTATTAGAATTGAAATTTAAGGCTTTATGAAAGAGTGACTTATGCCTTAGTTGATTAACAAAATGGATTTATTATATTGAATTGTAATGTATGACAAGAAGAGGATGTGTGCTACACTGAACATTGATGTGTTCCCGTTCTTATTATACATTATTCCATGCGATTACATGACATTTAATTTCATTTCATTTAGCGTAATTATTTACTGATTAAAACAAACGTCCACCTGAAATTGATAATTTTATTCCAGAGAGATTTGATTTTGACCGATTTGGTCTCGTGTGCTGTTACGGGTATGAAAGCGGATGTCACTTCCCGGCTGCCCACATCGTGGGAGGTTGTTTCTTGAGGAACCTGAAAAGGAAAGTAGATTAGTGTTGGTCTTGGAGACCTGGGTGCGTGACCGCTGAGACCAAGGGACAGTTGCTTGAGGCCGGTCACGCACAGCCTTTTTATGAAAGGTTTTTACAATATCAGCTCCGCTCTTGAAAGCCCTTAGTGGGCACCCTTACCCAAGGAGACGGAAATCTTTGAGGTAGGGTGAGGTGTGACATTGTTGGAGTCAACGTTTTCCAACCCTTCCTTCCTTGTGAGAAGGCAGCATCACTGCAGATGCTGGTTGTCCGAAGGAAACACCTTACTGCTGTCACACCCCTCCACAGTCAGTCAGCATTATGACTTCACCCTCAGACCTAGAGTAGGTGCTTTCAGCTCATCGTTCTCCAATCGACCTGCCTTGTATGGTAGAACCTTCAGGAACATATGTTCCAGCCAGTATAGCTCGGCTGGTTCATCACGATAGGCAGCCCGACCACCACGTCAAGGTAGCAGCTGTTGACGTTGTTCAGAAGTACCATGAAAGCTCCACAACCAAAACATCCTTCAGGTCACAGAGAACCAAACACCACCACCACAATCATCCACCTAAGCTACAAATCTTCTCCACCATCTCAATGTTATATCCATTACAAATCAGCACTTGTATTATCTATGTGGAAAAACTACTCTGTTTGGTAATCACACTCGGAAACTAAATCTAACTTATGAGAAATATATATACATATATATTTTGTCGCATATGCTGGATTGAATAAATTAGCATAGAAAACTTGAATAGTTCAATTTGATTATGGCAATCTTCGGTTCATAATCTGTAGATTTTTCCCATGAATTTACTTTGTAATTATCTCGGCGCAGCGTGTTCCTCTAACGACCTCTTTTGCTTTGGTCTACAGAATTCTAATTTAGGGCTTGACTCGTGGTTTTGTTGGACGATTTTACCACAGTGTGTCCTGTTCACATTCAACGCTTTTTCCCCAATTTCTCCAACTGGATGAATCTGGTTCATTCTCTCACTTAGTAGACTGTTTCTCATGGTATCTGTCTATCGGAAAGTTGCTTATAAATAGTAATACCTTTTGACTGTTTTTCGTAGATCTTCAAGTTTCTGTTTCATATGACAGAACTGTCTTGACTTTCATATTAAAAATTGTAAATTGGTGCTCACTGAAAGACTGTTGATTTGAATTCCAAATGTTCAATTGTATCAACACTGTTAATCTGTAATTCACCCTGGTTATCCGTTGATGGTGATCAGGTACATGAAGCTTTTCATAACTTCCAAAGTTTCTCTATCAAGTGTGATTTAGTTGTTACATGCCGAATTGTATCAGAGGATGTTGTTTTGTCAGCGTCTTCACTAAATAGAACTATATCATCGGCATATAATTTAAGTCACCAAATGAATATTCTAGTAAAAGTTCTACTCATGAAAAGTCAAACGATGAAAGCATCGTCTATAAAATCATTTCAATGACTAAATTGATTAAGAATAGAGAAAGAGAACAACCCTAACGAAAACCACTCCAGGTGGTAATCAATTTCGATGACTGTTTGCCATAAGCTCTCGCTATGCTAGTAGTGTTCGAATAGAGAGCCTGTATAAGGTTGATGTAGTTTTTTGATACTACTTTCAATCATAGATACTGTAGTGCCTCCACATATGTTCGAGTTCGCTTACATTTAACTTGATTAAGCCCTTTCGATTAATAATTTATTTGACCAAGCCATTTGTATTGCGACAACTTATATGTACCATTCGTTCTTATTATTGTCTGGTTTGTATAAGCTCACATGACGTGCTCCACTTGTCATTTGACCTTGTCAACCATTCGTCGCTTTTATTCATATGTGCCGATTTCGCTTGTCCCATATCTGTCTTATATTTGTCTGATTATGTATTCTTAGTCACTGCTTCTCCGCTTCGCTTTGTGGTGTGTCCCAAATAAACGTATTCATCACTTCGAGTTCACCTTCTGATATATAACCGTCAGACGAGCTAATCACGAAGATTAAGAACACGTCGAAATCGACACACTACAACACTGCCAAAGGATATCACGATCGAGAAAGTCAAATGCTGCCTTAAGGTTCTTAAATGCAACTAATTTTGGACGCCGAGATTCGTTTTTATGTTCCAGAACCTAACGAAGTATGAATATCTGGTCTATACAACCACGTTCAAGTCTGAACCCATCCTGATTTTCTCTTGGTCTGCTCTTCACGAGCTCTAGTTAGGCGTCCAAGTATTATTGAAGCCAATATCTCTGTGATTATCACAAAAGGACTTTTGTCCTTTCTTATAGACTACGTCATTCAGTGATTGAGATCAGTCAAATGGAAATACATCCAGTTCCCAGATTCTATCTAAGATCTCAGTCAATCTAGCCACTGAATCTGATTATTCCATGCTGTATTGTATTGCCCATCTCCTACACTGCAAATATCGAATACAAATTCTGAAAATAATAAACAGCAGGTTCTCCTTGATTGTCTAATTAAGGTGTAGTTTCTAAACATCCAATCAGAATTTTCTTTTTCAAACTTTCACTCTTCCCCATAAGTGTTACAATATGAACATACATCCTTTTTATCTTGTTCAATCGATCGATAACTGTATGTGTGTGATGACGGTAGGATCAAGGTCATGATTTCTTTTCGCCAATTTGATTGGACCATTCAATAATCAAATGATGTACAAGAAATATGGATGAAATGATGATATATATATGTATATTTTTATTTCACAAAACATTTTCTTACGTTTTTCATAGTACATAATCATGAGAATTGAATTTTCTCAATTAATTTTCATTGTATTAAATATAATTTATATTACTAATACACATAGTAATGATTATTCTCCGCCTACTATGTTATGTCCAAGTGGTTATTGGCCAGCAAAAATCAATTTAACCGGTGGTCCTTATCAAACAGATCGAACATTTGAATTATCATTTCATCAATCCAATACGGAACAATCATCATCATCATCATCACCGATATGTCAATTTTGTCCAAATGTTGGTTGTTTCATTGTACGTTTATCCTCCTCCTCCTCCGCCTCAATGGAAACAAAGAAATATTCCACAGGGAATAGCGGTAAAACAACACCAATTCAACCAGTATCTTCTTCTACTTCTACTTCTTCAATGATAATGACAACAACAACAACAACAACAACTGTCAATGAAAGTGATATGAATACTGTGAACATGACAGGAACTAATAATAACAGTAATTTCAATGAAACAATGGAATCAATGAACAGTAGTAGTAGTAGTAATTCAACTCTCATTCATGATGATACTACTTATTTATACATGTCATGTGATCATTGGAATAATTTGCCTTCACCAACAGAGATAATTAGTTATTTAGATTGTGTTATGATTGGTACTAGTAATGAACAATTTTATTTGTTTATTTATGAGCCAAGATTTCAAGCGGAATCACTACCACCAGTCGACTGTGTTGATGCAGATTTTTTGGCATGGATTAAAAATGATACAGAATTGTTGGGTTTAGAATTAGGTTTTCGAATGAAAACAATACCACCATTTTTACTGCGTTATTATCAACATATAATGCAAGTAAGTGCATCATATATATATATATATATATATATATATATATATATATATATATATATATATATATATATATATATATATATATATATGCTAACTAACTCTATATCAAGTGGTGTCCGTCAGGGATGTCCACTTTCTCCATTCTTGTTTAATTTTATCATAGACATGCTCCTAGACATAACATTATCCTCGTCTGAATTTTCTGGAGCAGACCTTCTACCAGGTGGCTCGCTTATTGACTTAGAATATGCCGATGACATAGTTCTATCCGGTGAAGACGCTGACAAAATGCAGAGTCTTCTGACTACCCTAAGCAACAATGCACGCATGTTCGGGATGAGGTTTTCCCCCTCGAAATGCAAAATGTTGCTTCAAGACTGGGTTGCATCGGCACCTGAACTAGTGATATGGAGTGAAGTAGTCGAGCGTGTAGACCGCTTCACTTATCTGGGGAGTCTCATCAGTGCCGATGGCCTGGTGACTGACGAAATCTCAGCACGGATACAGAAGGCTCGATTGGCTTTTGCCAACCTGCGTCACTTATGGCGTAGGCGAGATATCCGTTTGCTGACTGAAGGACGAGTGTACTGCGCAGTGGTTCGCTCCGTCTTACTTTATGGCTGTGAAACATGGCCAGTGAGAGTAGAAGATATTCGTAGGTTACTGGTTTTCGATCATAGGTGTCTTCGAAGCATTGCTCGTATATCGTGGAGCCCGAGTGAGCAACGCTGTTATTAGGAATCGGGTGCTAGGTAAGAATGGCAGATCAATCGATGAAGTGTTGAAACTTCACCAGTTGAGGTGGTTGGCACATGTGTTGCGTATGCCCAACCACCGACTGCCTCGACGAGCCTTCTTTTGTAGTGTAGGAATAGGTTGGAAGAAAGTTAGGGGTGGCCAAACCAAAACATGGCAGAAATCCATGAAGTCATTGACGAGTGGACTTAACCATGTCGGTAATTGTCGACTACCTGGTTGGGGTCCGCGAGATGATAATAATCGATGGTTAGAGACCTTGAATGACATGGCTCAAAATCGTTCGCAATGGCGCCAGTGCATTTATTCTTTGTGTTCTCTCAAATCCTAATCTTCTGGATTCTTCAACCCCTCTAGTTTCGACTCTCTAAACGTTTCTCACTGAATCATACTTCTTGAATAATATCTTCTAATCGTAACCTCTCCGATTACTTCTAATTCCCTTAATACCTCTTCTACTGTTGGATTTGAATTGACGATTACTTCTCTGTGCTGATGTGGTATGGCGACATGAACTGATGTACTTATGTACAAAGTTGTACGTTACATCTGACTGACTGACTAACTAACTAAATGTTACGTCTGCACGTAAACACGTCAACTTGATATACACTAGAACTATTACGAGCGAGGATTGAGGAACCGGCGACATGATATGCTACTCAAATCCAATTATCCCAACCTCCATATTGAGTAAAAAAGAAGAAGACGTGATATGAAGTAGAATCTGTATTCTACAAGCATCCAGAAGGTACGAGGTCCGAATCTAGAAGAGAATCAGTATCCCGGACCCAGGACCGGGACCGAGCACTGATCCTGGTCGTGGTCATAAAACGTTACAGATAATGCGTATTTATACATTTCGGTCGAATAGGAAACAGCATCGAATTCTGTGACATTGACAGTTAAGACGATCAGTAGGAAGTAACATTTGAAATGACATTGACAGTCCGGATGACCAATAAGAGACAACATTGAAGTATTTGACTTTGACAGTTAAAACGACCATAATTTTGACCAATAGAAATCGACCAATAGGATTCGACCAATAATTGGATAAATATCCTAACACTAAAAGACAAAAGAAAGACGGATCCGAGGTATGTGATGGTAGAAGTTTCCTCGTTGCTCGAAATACAAGGTATGGGGTAATTTGGATTAGAGCGAACAGAGATTAGTGGGTGTAGTGAATATAAATAAGGATGAAACAGGTTTGACTGTATGGAATGAAGCTTATGTTTGGAACCCTTCATGTAGGGTAAATTATCTGCCACGACCTAGAGCTGATCCTAGGATAAAAAGCGTAAACAGTGACACAGCACTTCATGTTGCTACACGATCAGGATGTCTGTGAGCTACTGTATCTAGTTCTACGGAGTATCATAATAGTGAAACGAAAGATAATAGCGGCTTAGCGCGTCCTGCTGATGTTTGTTTGCAGTCAAGTGATGAACGGCCGCATACTAGTCCAAGTGGTCATATCAATATTGATAGTGTTAGTGTAAGAGGCAGCAGTGGTAGCTTAGCTTTTAAGCCTGAATGCCAACCATGCCGCAACTCGTCACTAACTGTGAAGAGTCGGGACATCAATGGGGACAGCAACAACGTCAAGGTGGAGGTGAAACCTCATGTGTCTATTAATAGTGTGATAGATGTGAATAATAAAGGTGATGGTAACGAGAGTGGAATCACTATAGGTAGTACAGTTTCTTCGGTTGCTGTTACGAATGTAGCTTCTTTGAGTACTTCAGATCAAGACGAAGTTGGATGTTTGAGCGTGGAGAATGTGGGCGTCGGTGGCAATAGCGTCAGCCACAGTAATGGCACTACTGAGAGGGCTAACAACATTCAGTGCCCTAGGTGCAATGAGAAGTCATCTAGGTTTCATGGACAGGCTGTTGTGTTGAATATGCAGCATGAGGAATCGAGCATGGAATTGTCCACCTGTCGCACTCCACCATCATCGACTTGTACTACAAGTATCGGGATGAGCACTACCAACAGTGATAATACAGATGAGGTGAAGGACATTCCTAGTAAGGAAAGTAATGTTGATCGAGTAGAGTTGGACACTGCACATAAGTCGAATGGATGTCATGGGAAGATTACTACTACTTGTATAGCTGCGGCTACTAAGGATAAGAGTGTTGATAATACTCCTGCGCTCAAATATGGCCGGTAAGAGTAGAATATATTCGTAGGTTATTGATTACATGAAGTCACTGACAACTGGATTGAGTCATGTTATTAGATGGAGACTACCTGGTTTGGATCCGCGAGATGATAATAATCGATGGTCACAGACCTTGATCGACATGGCTCAAAATCGGTTACATTGAAGCACATCCATCCATTCTTCGTGCTCTGTCATACTTTAACTTTCTAAATTCCTCATCACCTTTATCTTTCTCTTTGTAAGTTGATTTCACTAGATTCTACTCCTTGAATAATATTCTCGAACCCTAATCTCTCCTATTAGTGCTTATAGTTCTACTGCCTCTACCACTATGGGATTCAGACTGACATATGTGGCTCTATGCTAATGTGGTACGGAGACTTGAAATGATGTTTTATGTGTGGAACAGAATTTATCAATCATCTGCGAATTATAGATCGTCCAACTTCATCCGAGCTCTCTCCACTGTATCTCACGCTTCTCCTGAGATTTTGACGTCTTTATAGTGCGCTCAACTCCAGGTCTGAGGGCGAAGTCGTACTGCTGACTGACTGTGGAGGAGTGTGATAGCAGTAAGGTGTTTCCCTCGGACAACCAGCATCTACAGAGATTCTGCCTTCTCACAAGGAAGGAAGGGTTAGAAAAGATCGACCATAAAAATGTCACACCTCACTGATTTCCGTCTCCGGTGGTAAGGGTTCCCACTAAGGGCTTTCAAGAGCGGAGCTAATACTTAAAAAATCCTTCACTAAAAGGCCCTGCGTGACCGGCCACAAGCAACTGTCCCTTGGACTCTGCAGTCACGCTCCCAGGTCTCCAAGATCAACCCTAATCTACCTTCCTTTTCAAGTTCCTCCAGAAACAACCTTCCACGGTGTAGGCAACAGGGAAGTGACAATCGCCTTCATACTCGTAACAGCACATAACTGACTGACTGTATAACATTTATACTGTTCACATTAAATATGTGATTAGATTATTGTTTGACATTTGTCTTATAATCATTATTATTGTTATAATTATTATTATTATTATCATTGTACACATTTTTTTCTGGGAAATTTATTTATTTAGTCAACTCAATATATATGTCTAGATGGAAGAAGTTTAATTAATCATTCGATACAATTTGAAGATACTGAACGTTTTGCTAGTAATAAATTAACACAAGTTGTATTTCGTTCATTAACTGGTCTAAAAAGAGAACGTTTACCACCGAAATCAATTGATAATTATCATAGAACAGCATTTCAAAGTGATGAATTAGTTGAATCATGTCCATTTATTGTACAACATAAACCAGCGAATATTACACCGAATAGTGATTGTCAATTTTCACCAAGTGTAAGTTTAATTCATTATTTTTATTATTACTATTATTATTATTATTATTATTATTATTATTATTATTATTATTATAATCATTTAGAGAGAATGAATGGACGGACTCCGCTTCATTGTTGTCTGTACCAAAGAGCATTCTCACACTCTCTCTCTTTACCATACAACTATAATTTTTCAAATTCCTATTACCCTCTCTGTACATGTCACATGGCCATGCGTGTATAGACTTTAACAGATAAGTCCTACTCACAATGTTGTGAAGGAGAAAATAGGTGAGGGCAACCGAATTGTATTTAACGAAAATTACAGAGTTACTCAGTAAAATCGGAAAACCATATCGTAAATTGTTAATTTGCAAAATATCAGTCCATCATATCGAACTGGACTGTTCCTGTTGCAAAACATCAACAATCCATTGTCACTATTCATGCGTTTCATACAAATTCCATTGTGTTCTAACTCTTCCTTTCTTGATCTTCCCTGCCAGACAAAGTCGTGGAGATAAGAGAGATATTAGGGGGCGTAAGAAGGATTTGATTTTGAACAATTTGGTCTCGTTTGCTGTTACGGGAATAAGGGCGGTTGTCACTTCCCGGCTGCCCACACCGTGGAAGGGTGTTTCTTGAGGAACCTGAAAAGAAAGATAGATTAGTGTTGGTCTGAACGACGTGGCAGAGTGACCTCAGAGCCCAAGGGACAACTGCTTGAGGCCGGTCACGTATGGCATTTTTAAGAAGGGTTTTTTGAGTATGAGCTCCGCTCTTGAAAGCCCTTAGTGGACACCCTTACCGATGGAGACGGAAATCCATGAGGTAAGGTGAGGTGTGACATTTTTATGGTCGTTCTTTTCTAACCCTTCCTTCCTTGTGAGAAGGCAGCATCGCTGCACATGCTGGTTGTCTGAGGGAAACACCTTACTGTTGTCACACCCCTCCACAGTCAGTCAGCATTATGACTTCGCCCTCAGACCTTGGGTAGCTGCTTTTAGTCTCATCGTTCTCCAATCGACGTGCCTGCTGTCATGGTAGAACCTTCAGGAACATATGTCCCAGCCAATATAGCTCGGTTGAGTAATTACAATAAGTAAGCCCGACCACCACGTCAAGGTAGCAGCTACGGTTGAGTAATGTATTCATGCATCTATTCAGAACAACAATGTACACCAATTATTAACTATTACAAAGTTATTAAGAACATTTATTTTTTTTAATGTTAAATTCAATAACACACTTTTTAAATTGACATTTTATATTTTTTTAAATTAAGGCATTACCAACTACATCAGATAAAGTCAGTTCACATCAAGCATTAGAACGTTGTCCATTTCGTCGTTTAACCATGATGAATACAATACAAATGAAAAAATTACGAAATATTAAATCACAACAACATTCAATGATTAGTGGTGATGATCAATCGATGATGATGATTTATTTACCACCATCAGTACTGTCAGCATGTTTATTAATTGTTGTCCTGTTATTAACCATCGGGATAATTATAGCATTTTGTATAATTAATCATGAGAAATTAATGTTATGCAAATCACGTAGTAGAAAACGACATGAACGTGAAGCAGCTGCAGCACAAGAAGAGATGGACGAAAAAGTTGCTAAAGAAGCTGCATTGGCAGCAGCAGCTGCTGCAGCCGTTGCTGGAGAAGGTGAAGGACAACAGCAACAACAACAACAAGTAAGACATCCAATCTATGCAAGATATGGTATGATACCACCAAATATGGGTGGTGCATTCGGTGCATTTGCTCCAACTTATCAAACAATGACAATGAATATCAATAATACTACTAATACTAATACTATGGTCAGACATAATCCTACATTTAATGGACCTATGCAGTGAAAAGAAATTTTGATTATTTATGAGGGGGGAAAAAGATTAATGTACACATACGTACTAATCAATGTTTTTAGACATATATATATTATATAATAATTGAATTGATCTAGTTTTTATCCTATTTAGATAAATAATGTAAATGAATCATGGAAATTTACTTGTTACGTATGCATGTAAACATGTCAATTTGATATGCTTGAAACTATTACGAGTTTACCTTAATCAGAAAACGAGAGAGAGGATCGAGGATCCGGCGACAAGACAGGCTACACTAATCCGATTGTACCAAACACCTGCCACATTGAATAAAAGAAGATTTGATATGAAATAGAACGTGTATTCTACAAACATCCAGTCCAGAAGAGAAACAGGATCCGGGACCATAAAATGTTACATATTATGCGTATTTATACATTTAGGTCGAATAGGAAACAGCATCAAAGTCTGTGACATTGACAGTAAAAGCGACCAATAGGAAAATCGATTTGAAGTGACATTGATAGTCAGGACGACCAATAAGAAACAACATTGAAGTATGTGACATTGATAGCTAGGACGACCATAATATTGACCAATAGGAATCGACCAATAGAATTTACACTTACAAAATAATTCTTCGTAGGATATTTGGTGGATGACTATCTTAACAATACTCTTTTAATAAGAAATATTATTGTGATTTAAATGAATAGAATTCTATCCTTGAGAAAATCATTTCATGAAACTGTAAACATTGTAGTGATATTAGTTTAACATAATATAATAGTCTTTTATTTTAAATAAAAGTTAATAGAAGAATTTAGAAGAATATAAGCGTATTTTAATGAATTAATTAATTTTTTCGAGTCGTTCGTTGCACTTACCTTGAATCTTAGCGTTTAAGTGTATTCCAGTCAAACATTGAGTTACAAAGAAGAAGTTTGTACGTACATCAGTTGAAGTTGCCATTATCATCACATGAGCACAGAGAACTTTATTCTGGGAGTGATGGTGGAGAAAGTTTCTAGCTCAGGTGGATGGATGATTGTGGTGGAGTCTCATTCTGTTAGTTGACTGGATATATATATATATTCGATTGGAACAATTTTGAAATACAATCAAGAAACATATTAAAGGGGGCTACAATGAAAATAAACACTGCAAACAATGACATGTTTAAGTTCAGTAATAACCAATCAAGAATCAAGGTTAATAGGACAAGCTACGAATTACATACTGTGTGGAAAAATTCGAACTCTTCACTGCTCTTATTTGAAATTTGTGCAGATGTTGTTGTTGTTGAGAAGAACAATGCAAGCTCTACAACCAAAACATCTAGCTGAGTGAATGAAACTCCAGCACAATTATTCCAGGACTTGAGTAAGCAGTCTATTATTAAAATAAACTGAAATGATATCATGGATTGTTAGGAAATATTGAATAAGAGTTATATATATCTGTGATGACTGGTTGATAACTGGCCAATGGTAGTCTATAAATGAAACAGATAATTGTCTACTTGATGAATCGATAGCTAGAGGTGGCAGTGTGCATTCACCAATGAATGTTGGGGACGTTAGATCCTCAGAACTCACATGATAAATGTCTTAATTTTGGATTTTATTCATGGGCTGATCAATTGACCTTGAAAGCACATCTCCCGCTAGAAAAATCCTCGGCTGTGATTGGTTGATGTGTTATTTTAGTGTGCTATTTTGTGATTCAAGGACGTCCCTATGGTGTATAAATAGACGCGATTCGTGTGCTTGAGATCATTGTATTTGTTGGGTGTATGTAGAATACACTTTCTCGACATATCAAGACTTTTCCTTCAGTTAGATGGGGAAACGGATCAGAATAGCCTATCGTATCGCTGGTTCATTGTCTCGTGCTCGTTTATCGATAAAGGTGGACTCATAATAGTCTCAAGCATGTCAAGTAACGATCATAAGAGATTGATTTATGAATTAGAAGATAACAATGGAATAGACTGAATAATATGTAAGAGAAGTACAATGATAGTATGCTGTTCAGATGTACTCGTGATGAGAAAGACAATAAAACAGACAAGGGGGGTGTTTGAATTTGCGAATAGCTAACGCTTCAATAAGCCACAGAATTACTCCTTTAACGCTTCTAGCCATGTTTTAAAACCTGTGTGATGTGAATTCTATACCCCGTTTCGATTGTGTTCTGTGATGGATGAACATGATTTCTATTTCCCACATTTATCGGGTTTTTTGACATGAACTGAACTGATTTTCAAACTATTTAGAGGCACATGTTACATCAGTTGTGATTGCATATATCTGATTACTATGCCTTATGTATGTGTCCACAAAAACATGCAAACTGATAAATAAAATGGGATGTGATGTAATCATCAAGTAATATCCAGTAGACTTTTGTGGAATCATCGACTTAATCTTTGCAATGATAACCAATTTAACAGCATCATTGTATGTTTTATCGATGACTGCATTTAGTCTCTATTTTAAATAGAATCAAACTGTTTGATTCACCTCTAAACGTTGAAAAGATCAACTACATATTTTCATTTGTTTTAAAGAACAATAAAGCCTTGAATTAATGTTTCATAGTAGGAATTCAGTAAAAACTGGATGAAAAAACAAAACATTGAAATCATTTTGATTAATGGGTTTGTTTTTAAATGATGCAATCTTGAAGTGTTTAAAACAATGAATAATATATCTGAAAAAGGAGATAATGATGATTATAATCATTAACGTCTTTTCATTCGTCAAAGTAAGAGAGAAGAGCATCACGATTTTCTGATGAATATAGTGATTTCGGTTATTGACTGAGTATTACGTGTTCAGTAGCCGTATGAAGAGATCTAATTGAAAACAACATTGATCACCTATACATATAGGTCTAATTAACAATGTGGGAATTTGCATCACAAGGGTTGTAGAGATTGTTGAACTACTCTTTTATGAAATCTTGAAACGGTCAATGTTAGACTGTAGTGTGCCCGATTTGCTGCGTGTTCTTAAGCTACGTAATAAGCTCGTCCAGACAATCATTACTAACTAGCGTCTGACGGTTTATAAGTCAGGTAAACTCGTAGTGTTGAAAACGTTTATTCGGGACACACCACAAAGCGAAGCGGAGAAGCAACGTGGAGAAGGCTAATGAGCCAACTCCTAGAGATACAGCATGACTAAGAATTTATAGTCAGACAAATATAAGACAGATATGCGACAAGCGAAATAGGCACACATGAATAAAAGCGACGAATGGTTGACAAGGTCAAATGACAAGTGGGACACTTCACGAGAGCTCATACAAACCAGACAATAATAAGAACGAATGGTACATATAAATTGTTGCAATACAAATTGGCTCGGTTAAATAAAGCAATCAAAAGGGCTTAACCAAATTAAGTGTTAGCGAACTAGAATATATGTGGAGGCACTACAAGACTAGGCATTAGAAACCAGGAAGCACTAGACGCCATTCTTTGCTGGTATGGGACTCATCAGCCAGCAGTGAGCATCCACTTCTATCTCGCAAGATTCAAACCAAGGACCTTCAGTCTAGCGCGCAGATAATGTATGGCTAACAAACAACAGTAAGGAATAGAGCTAGAACAGATGTAATGAGCCAAAGAGATGTGACCAAGTGAGAATGTCGTCCGATGACTATGATCAGAAATGTTCTAAAGAACGAATGCATAGATCATTGACCATTCCAGATCTCCTGATATGGAATATATATATGGTTGTATACCCTCACGCCTTATCAAGTGCATGCACACTTATTAAGATTCCATTATTTAACATGAGGAAAGAATAACAATTGCTTCTGTAGACTACTTAAATAGGCCTGCATAAGAAACAACATTGCTTTTCGATAAATGACTTTTACGATGATGATCAAAGCAGGCACGAACACAGAAATACTCATGTTTAGCATTTCATCAATTTTGCATCTTTTCATGGAAATTCTCTCTCGTATTGTTAAATGAAAAACATTCATATCATATATAGCGTTCTTCATGGTCTACAAAATGAATTCAAGGTTTGATTTCCCGTATTAAATCTACAAGGTAACTTAAACAAAAGAGAAAATGTGCAAAATATAAAAAGAACGCTTCATTCCAAGGTTAGATAGTTTATGCGGATATTCATTTTCAAAATCTCAGGAAGCATATTAAACGTAGTAACGGTATAGTTGAATATTCAATCAGAATAGTGAAACGTGACTAGACACTTTCTAAATGTATCTGTAGAAACTCTATTCAGTGATGATTAGATAAATAGATTCCTGGTGTTTCCGTATTTTGTTTCTCATCCTCTTCTAAAATATTCATAAATTTAGCTTATATGTAAAATAGAAACTTTGAGCGTTGTCCATTGTTCCATATTATGGTCACTGAATTATTATTCTGCCAATCCCAAGCTCCGAGGAGGAGTCGGGCATAGTGTTAGCGACCCCATCCAGTAGAAATCCAACTCGCTAAAAAAACACTAACCAGAAAAATAATTTACTGGAGAACGACTTATCCTTTATTAGGGGTAACAGGTGCAGGCAACTGGTGTTTCTCGACCTCCACAAACTTCACCACAACAACAATCAGGACCTGCAGCTCGCCCTCGCTTCAGATTTCCTAAGACTTTTTCAACTTCATAAAGACTAGGGGGACTTACGTCGATTTGCCATTCAGGATGACTGGAGATCGTGGGTAACCGAAGAGTGGCTTGAGGCCAGTTGAACTGATCGCTTAAGTGTTCTGCCCATCGATCCAGTCTCCTTGATTGAGAATAAATAATAGTCCCATCATTTTCCGAGATAGTCTCACTTACACTAGGATTCCGAATACCAGTTTCCTTGATATGTCGGAAAAGTTGTCTACTGTTGCCGATCGCCGCTGCCTTTTCCATCACCTTTGCTTTCGCCACCCACCACTGTTCACGGTCGTTGCGCAGGCTTTTTATAAATCTGCGCTTAAGCTGACTTCGTTCTTCATCGTGTTCAGAGCCAGGTGGGATGAGTTTTCGGGCATCCATCAGATCGGTGGATGCTACTGAGATCCACGGCTTCATTCTAGCCTTATGGTCTACCTTACTAGTAGATATCACTGCTGTTTCCACAGCCTTCTTGATATCATTCCAACCTGCCTCCGTATGGGAATCGCCTAAATGGTCGCCTAACTGTCTTTCTGGTTCCCCCTGACTTCACCACAACAATTAGTTTCTCTACACATTTTTATTCACCCCAACTACTATTGTCTAAGGGTTGTTACATCACACTACGGGAGACAATCCCAAATTAGTAAATCAATAAAATTAAAAAAAATGAGCATATTTTCAAATTATACAACATGTATATATTTCTTTTTCATTCAAACAAGATAGAAATATTAATGCCATTCAAATTCAATCAATTAATAACCACATTCATCACCATCATGTTCAGGTTGTTTCTCTTCTCGTAATTTAATTAAATCATCAATACGTAGAATAGTGATAGCAGCTTCAGTGGCAAATTTTAAACTTTTAATTTTTGAAACAAGCGGTTCAAATACACCTAATTCTTTACAATCAGCTACATATTGATTATTTAAGTCTAATCCCCACCTAGAAATTTGTAAAAGAGAAAAATTGATGAGGAAAAAAACGAATAAACAATAACTTGTGAAAGTTTATCCTGAACTTATTTATAATCTAGCTTCACTGATGAAACATAACTCCGCCTGGAGCCCTTCTACGGGGGCGGGGGTACTGGCGGTCGTAAGCCCGGAGATGAAGGAGGAGGGTTGGGCATTAGTGACCCTATCCCATAGAAATCCAACTCGCTGAGAAAAAAAACGCTAACCAGGAGAATAATTCGCTGGTAGGCAGCTGCTAATGTGCCCCATTAGGAATAACAGACGCAAGTGAAGTATGAAAGAAACTGATAAGGCGTCCAAATCAAAAATTGTATAGATTATTGATTAAGAGTTTTGATAAAGTTGTAATGAAATAGCATAACACTTTCGTGCACAAGTATGCACCTAACTTTCTGATCACAAGGTTGGTATCCGATGGTGTTCATGTCTAACTACAATCAATCTATGATATTTAGTGGTTTTTATCGATTGTCTTCAATGAGTGATTGCCTCACACCCGATATGGTTGAATTTGAAACAGTAAAATTCAGGAAGTCACTGATAACTCAACTGATCAGTCGTGGAGATAATAGGAGGTGTAGGGAGGATTTGGTTGTGACCGATTTGGTCTCTCGTGCTGTTACAGGCGGTTGTCACTTCCCGGTTGCCCACACCGTGGAAGCGAGTTTCTTGAGGAACCTGAAAAGGAAGATAGATTAGTGTTGGTCTTATAGACCTGGGTTCCTGACCGCAGAGCCCAACGGACAACTGCTTGAGGCCAGTCAAGCACAGCCTTTTAATGAGAAGTTTTTACAGTATTAGCTACGCTCTTAAAAGCCCTTAGTGGGCAGCCCTTATCGCCGGAGACGGAAATCTGTGAGGTAGGGTGAGGTGTGACATTTTTAGGGTCGACCTTTTCTAACCCTTCATTCCTTATGAGAAGGCAGCATCGCCGTAGATGCTGGTTGTCCAAGGGAAACACCTTACTTCTGTCACACCCCTCCACAGTCAGTCAGTAGTACAACTTCGCCATCAGACCTACTGAGTAGCTGCTTTTAGTCTCATCGTCCTCCAATCGACGTGCCTGCTGTCATGGTGGAACCTTCAGGAACATGTGTTTCAGCCAATATAGCTTGGTTGGGTCATGACGATAGGCAAGCCCGACCACCACGTCAAGGTAGCAGCTACGATCGGGACAACTCAAATGTTTTAGTAGGTCTACACTACCTAGTTGAGGTCCGCGAGGTGATAGTAACTGATGGCTAGAGTCTTCGGATGACGCGGTCCAAAGTCGTTTGTGATGGCACAGGTGCATCCATTCTTATTCTTCTCTCAAATTCTAATCTTTTGAATTCCTCATCACTTTTATGTTTTGCTTTTTAAGTTTGTTTCACTGGATTTAACTTCTCGAAATAATTCCTTCTAACCCTATTCTTTTCCATTACCGCTTATACTTCTAGTACATCCACCACCACTAAGGAATTTGTACTGACAATTCGATCTCTATGTGCTAATACGGTATGGCAACTTGAACTGATGCATATATGTGCCAAGTTTCACGTTATAGCTGACTGACTGACTGATTGACTGACTTATCGAAATACTGACATTTTCGGACAATATACTAGGAAAATATTTACAAACTACTAACTAACTTACCATTTATAATGGGCTTGATCCTGTTTTGTTTGACTTGTATTATGACATGAACGTAAACGTGCAACTAGTTCAGTTGAATCGACACCAGCATTTACAGCTAATTGTTTAGGGATAGAAAGCATAGCTCTAGCAAATTCTGCAATAGCTAATTGTTCACGTGAACTTAAAGTGAGTGCATAATTTTCTAAATAGATTGATATTGCTGTTTCACAAGCTCCAGCACCAGGTACAATACGTTTACTTTCTAGAACTCGTTTAACCACCTAAGTTAAAATGAAAAAAAAAAACTAATTAGAAGAAATGGTACGAGAAAAACGATTCACAAATTATTGATAGGAAACCTTGAAAATTATGAAGGTCAGTCAGTCAGTCAGTTTTACAACATGTCCCAATCAGCTCGACTGATGAAGTTTCAATACTTCATCTATTGATCTGCCATCACAAATGTGAAATATATGATGGAATATATTGAGTGATATATAGTTGACAGTCATTAATAACTAAGGTAGATGAATGCATACAACTCATAATCCGTTTCTATTTATTGGTTGGGATATGTGATACGTATGCCCGATCACTGACTGCCTCGACGAGCAATGTTTTGTGATGAAAGAGAAGGTTGGAAGAAAACCAGGGGCGGTGTTGTAACGCTTGCTTAGATAATTGCCAGCTAATTCCTATTGCTTAGTATTCTCTGACCACAATACACTGGGCAAGTTCCAAAGAATCAAAAACACGGTTGAACAGAAAAAGATTCTATTCCAAATAGCAATGTTAAATGGAAATAAGAAGCCGAAGGCGGAAATAGTCAGTCAGATGCAATGTAGAACTTCGTACGTAAGTACATCAGTTCACGTCGCCATACCACGTCAGCACAGAGATATAATTGTCAATTCAAATCCAATAGTAGAAGAGGTAGTAAAGGTATTAGAAGTAATCGGAAAGGTTAGGAATATAACATATTATTCAAGAAGTATGATTCAGTGAGAAAAGTTTAGAAAGTCAAAACTAGAGGTGTCGAAGAATCCAGAAGATTAGGATTTGAGAGAACACAAAGAATAAATCCACCAGCGCCATTGCGAACGATTTCGAGCCATGTCATTCAAGGTCTCTAACCATCGATTATTATCATCTCGCTGATCCCAACCAGGTAGTCGACAACTACCGACATGACTAAGTCCACTTGTCAATGACTTCACGGATTTCTGCCGTGTTTTGGCCTGGCCGCCCCTAACTTTCTTCCAACCTACTCCTACATTACAAAATAAAGCTCGTCGAGGCAGTTAGTGGTTAGGCATACGCAGCACATGTCCCAACCACCTCAACTGATGAAGTTTCAATACTTCATCTATTGATCTGCCATTCTTACCTAGCACCCATTTTCTAATAACAGCGTCGCTCACTCAGGTGTCCCAGAATATACGAGCAATGCTTCGTCTCCAAGACCAACTTTAATCTATTTTCCTTTTTAGGTCCCTCAAGAAGGCAAAAATAGATACAACGTTAGTTTATTTATAGCATTTACATGAGAATGCTTCTAGATAGAAATTCACGTGATCGACTAGATTAGATGTAGCCAATCAGCATGCAGCTAACAGTACGAGAACTTTTTATCCTGTTCTCCAAGAATCGATCAGGCGCTGATTGGATAGGAAATTAGCCAATCAGCGCGCAGCTGACGCAGTTATGCTTTATTCTATCCATGTCCCACTAACAGGCGGCCAAATCAAAACACGGCACAAATCCATGAAGTTATCGACAACTAAACTAAGCCATGTCACTGAGTGTAGACTACCTGGTTCACAAAACAATAGTAATTGGTGGTTAAAGAATTTAAAATGACGTGGCTCAGATTTATTTTACTAGATTATACTCCTCAAATAGCATTTTTGAACCCTAATCTTCCCGATTACTGCTGATACTTCTACTACCTACCTATACAACTATGAGATTTGAATCGACACTTGCATATTTGTGTTATCGTCGTATGGTACGTACATATGAAGTTCTACATTTTTACTAAGTGACTTGTTTTTTTTCGGATTTTTCTTACCATGACTGGCATTATTATTTTGATTCTTTTAGTTTTTACATTTGTCCTATAAATGCAAAGGTAGCATGTTAGACATTTTAGATCATAGGTGTCTTCGAAGCATTGCTCGTGTATCACGGGACTACCGTATAAGCAATGCTGTCGTTAGGAAACGATTTCTAGGTAGGGATGGCAAATCAATAGATGAAGTGGTGAAACTTCATTAACTGAGGTGGTTGGGACATGTTTTGCGTATGCCTAACCACCGACTGCCTCGTCGAGCTCTGTTTCGTAGTGTAGGAATAGGATGAAAGAAAGCTAGGGGCGGCCAAACTAAAACATGGCAGAAATCCATGAAGTCACTGACAAGAGGACTGAGCCATATCGGTAATTGTCGACTACCGGGTTGGGGTCCGCGAGATGATAATAATCGATGGTTAGAGACCTTGAATGACATGGCTTAAAACCGTTTGCAATGGCGCAGATGCATCCACTCTTTGTGTTCTCTCAAATCCTAATCCTATTCTTCAACACCTTTACTCTTGTCTTTCTAAACTTATCTCATACTTCTTGAATAATATCTTCTAATCGTAACCTCTCCGATTACTTCTAATAACTTTACAACCTCTACTACCTATTAGATTTGAATTGACAATTATATCTCTGTGCTGATGTGGTATGGCAACATGAACTGATGTACTTACGTTCGACGTCCTACGTTGCATCTGACTGACTGACTGACAATCGTTTGACAACTGCAGTTTTAAAAAATTTGCATTTTATGCTAATTTTTGTTTAGAATTAGCGGAGGACGGCGATTTAAAAACGTACGAATTATGTTACATGAACAAATGGACTAGAGGAAATTTTACAAAAAAGGGAATCATCAATATAAGCTGTAGGCATACGCAGCACATGTCCCAACAACCTCAACTGATGAAGTTTCATTACTTCATCTATTAATCTGCCATTCTTACCTAGCACCCGTTTCCTAATAACAGCATTGCTTACTCGGGTGTCCCACAATGCACGAGCAATGCTTCGAAGACACCGATGATCGAAAACCAATAACCTACGAATATCTTCTACTTTCACTGACCATGTTTACCCAGCTATAAAGTAAGACAGAGCGAACTACGGCGCAGTACACTCGTCCTTTAGTCAAAAAAATAATATAAATAATAACAATAATAATAAGTAATGTATGTGTGTGTACACACATGACTGCTCACTCACCAAAAGTGCATCATGCATAGATCGTTCCATTTCATCAACATAAAAATCATTTGCCCCACGTAAAATAATACTTGCAGATGGATGAACTTTAGGACCTCTTAAAATAATTAATTCATCATCACATATACGTTCTTGACATACTTCTTCTGCCTAAATTGATGAAGAGAGAAAAAAATTATTTTTAATAAAATAAAAAAACTGAAATAAATCAATGCATTACATTGCCTAATTTTGTTGCATCGAACACTTCATCCCCTTCCATATCGGCTAAACTAACAATCAGCTGACCTCCAGTTGCTTTGGCCATATTTTTCAAATCGACTTTTTTACATCGTCGTACAGCGATAGCATTTACTTCAACAAAATACTTTAAGCATAAATCATCAATTCCACCAGTGGTTAAGATGACATTAGCACCAGCATTGAGAATTTTTTGTATACGTTCTTTTGTAATATCAGCTTCACGTTGACGAATTGCTTCCAGTTGTGCAGGATCTTTCACCACAATCTGTTACAATAAAAAAATTTTATGAAAATTTAGTTTAACAGGAAAAAAAACAAAAGATTTGCATTTTACTAATCGGATTTTTGTTGAGTTAAGAGATAAATCGACCAGAAAGGTTGACAAGAAAAGTTGAACAAAATGTGAACCTCTTACACAAAACAGTTTAACAGAAATGAATAGTTTGATGTGCTTAATCGACAGGATAATGTTTAAAAAACCTGGTCAGTTTGTGATGCCTGTGTGTTAGTGTAACATAGATGGAATAAAGCATGACTGCGTTAGTTGAGCGCTGATCGGCTAACTCAATACATGCTAGAGACCGTAGCTGCTACCTTGACGTGGTGGTAGGTCTTACATATTGTGATCACTCAACCGAGCTATATTGGCTGGGACATATGTTCCTCAAGGTTCTACCATGACAGCAGGCACGTCGATTGGAGAACGATGAGACTAAAAGCAGCTACTCAAGGTCTGAGGGCGAAGTCGTACTACTGGCTGACTGTGGAGGGGTGTGACAGCAGTAAGGTGTTTCCCTCGGACAACCAGCATCTACAGCGATGTTGCCTTCTCACAAGGAAGGAAGGGTTAAAAAAGGTCGACACTAAAAATGTCACACTCCACCTACCTCACAGATTTTCGTCTCCGGTGGTAAGGGTGCCCACTAAGGGCTTTTAAGAGCGGAGCTAATACTCTAAGAACTTCTCATAAAAAGGCCGTGCGTGACCGGCCTCAAGCAGTTGTCCCCTGGACTCTGCGATCACGCACCCAGGTCTCCAAGACCAACACTAATCTACCTTCCTTTTCAAGTTCCTCAAGAAACGACCTTCCACGGTGTGGGCAGCCGGGAAATGACATCCGCCTTCATACACGTAACAGCACACGAGACCAAATTGGTCAAAATCAAATCCTTCCTACACCGTGTTCCACCGTGTCCTGATTTGGGAACTTATCGAGTGTATTGTTGTCAGTGAATACTAAGCAATAGGAATATCTGAGTTTATTGAGAGATTTATAACATTGTGCCATACAAGAATTCCAAACACTATGACATACAATTATGAGTTTGATTGTTTGGCTTCATGAAAAAACAACAATTTACTAGAAAATATATGAAATCTTTCATTTACTATAGCTAGATGTTAGTAACCCGGAGGCTTGACAATACATGCTAGAGATGATATTTGGATTGGTGGTTTACTTCAGTGACCTCAGTGCATCATTTGTTCCGATTAGCGTATTTTTAATGGGATGGGGTTGCCAACCCTATACCCAAACCTGCTCCTTTATTCGGGCTTGAGACCAGCAGTAGCCCCGAAGGGTCTACATGTGGAGACTTTAGTGTATACCCAACATCGAAGCAGCATCTACGGACCTACCAATCACTGTTGGCTCACCAACAATTGAAGATATCAGTATGACCATTAGACAAATCAACAGCAGCAAAGCAGCAGGACCAAACAACATTCCAGCAGAGGCAATGAAAGCAGACGTGGAAGCAACTGCGAAAATATTTCACATTCTCTTCAACAAGATTTGGGATGAGGAACAAGTACCATCACACTGGAAGGAGGGATACCTCATCAAAATGCCAAAGAAAGGCGATCTTAGCAAGTGTGATAACTACAGAAGCATCACTCTTCTTTCAATACCAGGTAAAGTCTTCAACAAGGTGTTGCTAAACAGAATGAAAGGTTTCCTAGAAGCGCAACTTCGAGACAAACAGACTGGATTTCGTAAGGATCGATCGTGTAACGACCAAAACTGCGTCACAAAACAAGCCCTTTCTTGGAAGCCTCAAGGTAAGAGGAAAAGAGGAAGACCAAGGAACACATTACGTTGAGCAATTAAGACATGAGAAAAATGAACAGAAGTTGGACCGAACTGGAGAGGGAAGCCCAGGACAGAGTTGGTTGGAGAAAACTGGTGGGCGGCCTATGCTCCATTGGGGGTAACAGGCGAAAGTGAGTAAGTAAGACTTTAGTGTATCTTTTAAATTCTCCCTCGGCGGCTACTTTATGGTACATCATTTAGTGACGCTAGTGGACAGTGTGCATCGGTGACTACTAGCTGACATTTTCACAGGCCATCGCAACGCCCTTACAATCCAGTGGTTCAGTTCAGTACCAGACATGACAGAACATTGAAAACTATAGCGATTTTGGCCTTGTTTCCTACTACGTTCTTCATAAATTAAAGATAAGCACTCCTGATTGACCTAATTTAGTTGTGTTCATCCATGATGGGACCTTTTTTAATCCCCTACTGCTTTAAAAATTTACGTTACAAACAAAATTAAATAATCTTTATCTAGGTTATGTTCGTTTAAATGATCTAAACCAATCAAATATATTACATGACATTTTGTACTGACCATTATTAATCGATTTGTCAGTATTTTTAAAGAATACCATGATTTGTAATATAAAACATACTTGAACTCCTAATTTCATTTTAACTTTTTGTAAACTGAAATCCAGAAAAGCAATTTTCGCTTTTTTTATCATTCGTGGCATTTGTTGACTAGCAATTGTACAATTGAGAGCATAACCATCTATCAATACACTCTCTGACATAGATTGCCCATGAGCTTTCAGTATGTTAATTGCTTTTATAGGATAAACAGGGCCTTTAGAACCTCCAGACACTTCAACAGCCATAAGTGCATCTACAGCCATTTGTGAAAACATGTCAGCATCTCTAAAAAAAGCAATAATAGGTATAATCAAAATAGAGGAGAACTTACAAATTGATAAGTTTGCTTGACATAGCAGTTCGTGCCACATTAATTAATCCAGCCTTTCCCAACTTATTTACATCATACGCCATATGTTCTTGTATGTACTTACAAGCTTCACGGCATGCCAATCGAAGACCATTGATTACTGTGGTAGGATGAACAAAACGCGAAATCAATTCGTCAGCATTCTTGAGTAGAGAAGCAGCCAAAATAACAACAGATGTTGTTCCATCCCCAACTTCTTCATCTTGTAATTGAGCAAGCTGAACAAGGATTTTCGCTGCAGGATGCTCAACGTCAAGTAACTTCAAGATAGTAGCTCCATCATTAGTAATTGTTACATCTCCGACGTCATCTACCAGCATTTTATCAAGGCCGACAGGACCTAAGCTGGTTTTAACGATGTTAGCAATCGAACAAGCAGCGAGAACTGTATTTAAGACAAAAATTTAATTAGAAACGGGTAAATTAAAGCATGATATTATATTTCAAGTACATTTGGTCGAAAATTATTTCTGATGCTACTTGAATTGACACAAGGAACTACTTTGATCACTATCAATAGATAAGATATTTCGATTTTCGAGAATCGTAAGCGCATCACAATGTTCTATATATATCATATAAATATAATTCGTTAATGTTTTTAAGTAGTATGAAACTGTTTTCTAAATACTTCAGATCAATTAGTTTTGTATCAACCAGATCACAACTTTCCATTTAGCAATAAACAGGGCTTAACTTGTACTGCTGAATGAAGGACTAATATCTGGTAATATTACATCACATGAGGCAAGGTAGACAGATATAACAGAACTTCGTACGTAAGTAGATCAGTTTAGGTTGCCATTGCACAATAGCACAGAAACGCGACCGTCAATTCAAATCCAATAGTGGTAGCGATAGTACAAGTATTAGCAGTAATGGAGAAGATTAGGGAGCGAAGATATGATTCGAGAAGTATAATTCAGTAAGATAAATTTAGAAGGAGAAAGGTAGAGATTATGAGGAATGCAGAAAGTTAGAATTTCATAGAAAACAAAGAGTGGATGCACCTGCGCCATTGCAAACGATTCTGAGCCACGTCGTTCAAGGTCCCTAACCACCGGTGTCTATCGTCTCGCGAACCCCAACCACGTAACCTACATCTACCAACATGACTCAGTCCACTTATCAGTGACTTCATGGATTTCTGCCATGTTTTGGTTTGGCCGCCCCTAGCTTTCTTCCAATCTGTCAGCGTCTTCACCAAGTAGGACTATGTCATCGGCATATTCTAAGTCAATAAGCGAGCCACCTGGTAATAGGTCTACTCCTGAAAATTCAGACGAGGATAAGGTTACTTCTAAGAGCATGTCTATGATAAAATTAAACAAGAATAGAGAAAGAGGACATCCTTGACGGACACCACTTGAAGTAAAGAATTCCGGTGACAGTTCGCCATAAGCTCTCACTCGACCAGTGGAGTGGAGAACTTTATAAGGTTAATGTACTTCTTTGGTACACCTTTCAATGACAGACATTCTACAGAACCTCACTATCCACTGAGTCAAATGCCGCTTTTAGGTCCAGGAAGACAACTATTGTAGGACGTCTAAATGTGTCTGTGTTCCACGACCTGTCGTAGTGTGAAAATGTGGTCTATACAACCACGTCCAGGTCTGAAACCAGCCTGGTTTTCTCGAGTCTGCTCTTCACGAGCTTTCGTTAAGCGTCGAAGTATTATTGAGGCCAATATTTTAGATACTATATTAGTTAGACTTATTTCCCTGTGATTGTCACAAGAAGACTTTTGTCCTTTCTTATAAATTGGGACAATCAGTGATTGAGACCAGTCGGATGGGATTACGACCAGTTCCCAGATTCTACCTAAGATCTCAGTCAATCTAGCTGTTAAAACTGGACCACCATCCCTGAATATCTCAGGGGTCAGTCTATCAGGACCTGCAGCTCGTCCTCGCTTCAGATTTCCTAACGCTTTCTCAACTTCGTTAAGACTAGGGGGACTTACGTCGATTTGCCATTCAGGATGACTGGAGATCGTGGGTAACCGAAGAGTGGCTGAAGACCAGTTGAACTGATCCCTAAAGTGTTCTGCCCATCGGTCCAGCCTCCTACATTGAGAATGGATAATAAGACCATCCTTTTCCGAGATAGTCGCACTTACACTAGGATTCCTAATACCAGTTTCCTTGATAAGTCGGAAAAGTTGTCTAGTGTTGCCTATCGCCGCTGCCTTTTCCATCGCTTTTGCTTTCGCCACCCACCACTGTTCACGGTCGTTGTGCAAGCTTTTTATCAGCCTGCGCCTAAGCTGACCTCGTTCTTCATCATGTTCAAGAATTTGAAGATAGTATTCAGTATCAGTTCAGGTGGTTAGGACATGTGCTACGTATGGCTAACCACCGACTGCCAAACCAAAACATGGCAGAAATCCATGAAATCACCGAATTATACTTCCTGAATACTATCTTCAAATCCTAGTAGTAGTAGTATTCAAGAAGTATGATTCGATGATTTCATGGATTTCTGCCATGTTTTGGTTGGGCCTCCCCTAGCTTTCGTCCAACCTACTCCTACACTGCAAAACAGCTCGTCGAGGCAGTCGGTGGTTAGCCTTAGGTAACACATGTCCCAACCACCTCAACTGATGAAGCTTCACAACTTCATCTATTGATTTGCCATCCCTACCTGGTATTCGCTTCCTAACGACAGCATTGTTTATTCGGTTGTCCCATGATACACGAGCAATGCTTCGGATACACCTATGATAGAAGACAAGCAATCTACGAATGTCCTGTACCCTTAACGGCCATGTTTGGCATCCGTATAGTCGGACGGAGCGAACTGCTGAACGGTACACTCGTCCTTTGTTTAGCAAACGGTTATCTCACCTGCGCCATAGGTGACGCGAATCGGCAAAAGCCTATCGAGCTTTCTACATGATGAGGAAAACTCGATTGTGATAGTAATTCATCGATGTGGCCTGGTTTCTCTTGGATAGGAATTCGACTCACATAACCTCAGAGTGACAATTATACAGATAATTTGTAGTGAAAGCAAGAGATGGATAAGGCGGTGGCAACAAGTAACAGAAGACAACTACTCAGACGTATCAAGAAGAGGCATCAGGAATTTGACTGTTAGTGAGACTACCTCGGAAAAATATGGGACCATTATTCATTCTCAATCTAGCAGATTGGATTGGTGGGAAGAACAATTTAGGGATCAGTTCAAGAGGCACCCAGCCACACTCCAGTTGCCCACGATCTCCAGTCAACCAGGATGGACAGTATATCTAAGTAATCCAGATCTTAATGAGGTTCGAAAGGCTGTAGGATACCCAAAGTAATAGAGAGGAGAGCATACCTATAGATCAACCACTGAAATTATTAAGGGTGTTGGTCTAGTGTTAGCAGTTAGATTGATAAGTGGATTAACAATTGCATCTCTACGCTGTGGTATGATAACCTGAAATCATATACTTATGTACGAAGTCCTACGTTGCAGCTAACTGACTAACTCGAGCGCTGATGGTCGAGTGAGAGCTTATGGCGAACTGTCAATTTAATTGATTACTTCAAGTGGTGTTCGTCAGGGTTGTTCACTTTCTTCATTCCTACTCGACCTAATCACTGACATACTTTTACAGACAACACTCATCGACTTTACAAGAGTTGACATATCAGCGGATTTACTTGCTGATTCAGAATGTGCGGATGACATAGTTCATTTCGGAGACGAGGCTGATAAAATGGAGTCTTCTGACCACCTTAAGCAACAATGCTCAGTTCTATGTTGTAGCTGACTGACTGACTGATTGATGGCAACTCGGACTGACATACGGATGTACCAAGTTCTACATTGAGTTAATTGGCAGATGCTTTTAGGAATCTTAAGCATCTATTGAAATGCTTGAAATTCAGCTACTTTGATTCGGATTGATGAAAAAGTGATATCAATTAGTCGATTGAGGATGAAAGCTAGACTAATACATCTGTATTTCGTATATGAGTTACACTACACGAAAAGTAGGTTTTAAATTCAACTAGTCAAACTTTCTGGCACCAAATTTTAGGTCTAGAATAAGAACTTATGAGCGGAACATCCAGTCTACTAGGGAATGAATAAAAAACACAATTTCCTCAGCGAAAAAAGTACGTATTCGAAGGTCAGACTGACATTTAGAAATGTATTGCCTTAACTAAATAGGATCTTTCTAATGCATAATGTTTATACACTGTTTAAACGATAATATCACTTCAGCAAACTTTATTTGTACCTAGTTTTCAGAAACAGTAAGTAGTGAAATCTACACGAAACTGTACCACGAGACTTTTTGTGGTTGAGTTCAGAACAAAGCCCTACACAAGCCACGTTACTGGATACGCAAAGAGCCATCAAGTTTTAAAAAACATTACTTGAAATAGGCACCTGATGGGATGTTAAAGAAGTACTCCAGGACTACTCATAGTTAATCCATTCTGTGACTTATAACCACATCACAGTCGAATTCTTCAGCCATGCCGAAATGATGAACGTAAAACAAAAGGCTATACAGTCCTATATCATACAAACGCTTAGACCAAGCTTCACTGGAGTACTAAATGCAGTTAGTAACCATGGGTTTTAGATATCACACATTATTCAATGAAACTAATTTAAGCAAAAGTTGGAAATTTCCTAAAGAAAAATTAGTACGGTTTTCACGTAGGTAAATGATTCTAAGGTTCTTATTCATTTGATAAACTTTTTATTCGCAGACAAGTGTACATACCAACACATTACTGCACAGTAAAATATTGGTATATAGCCTCGAAAAAACAAACCCCCTGACACCACACAGACACATTTAAAACATACCGTTTTGTTTGCGAACCGATTCGCCACTCGTTCTCTCTCCCCCAAGGGTAAGCATGCTTGCAGCGTTAACCGACATGACTACAGAACAACTTCAAATGCCGCCGAAACTTGCGAGTCAAGGTGAGCCAACAAAAATAACAGATTAAGCAGTCAGACAAACAAATAAGCAAGGTATAGTATCGATTCGCACCTTAGAAGAATATTTGAAACAAATTAACCTTCCTAAATATGTCCTACTTAGAAAGTGACCGTTCTTCTTGCTCCTTCATAAATACCAGCACTGCTAATTTGTGTTCGCTCATGAGAGTGTACTGTTAAAATATCCGCGAAACAAAAGCTCTGCAATTCTTCAGCATTTCGGCACCGAATTCACCACCTATATTCAGTGGTGTCGTACCATATCCTTATTGATGATGCTTGGTGTCATTTTTCAGCCTCGGCAGCTGCTGCTATAGCAGCCTCAAAATTTGTGCCAACCCTTTTCGGTACGCCCTGCTGCCCATCCATAATAATTCAAATAGTCGTGAAAATTAGTCAGCTTGTATTTGGTAGGATAGAGTATATCGACCTTTAATTCAAAATATCTTTACATATTATTACGCATTAATCTTGGCTTGATCTTCATTGGGGGCATCGGAATGGAAGGTTTCATTTGAGGGTGCTGTCACTCACTACGTACCATTGATGTATAGTAATGATCGTCTCTATTTCATTACTAGAACTTAAGAAGATCAACCACCATATTACAAATTCGTCTATCAAGCTGCTAAAATGTACTAAAACCTCTCTGTCAAACACGACCAATGAACATCACGATAGTTGTCAACGCTCCTATGATCGAAAGTTTTGTATCTTTAATTCCGAGAAAATTGAAGGATTACATTTGAACTATGTAGGTATGATAAAACCAAACTTGATACTTAAACATTTCTTCAAATTATTTGTAACATCAACATTATAATGAGTAAGGAACAAGATACAAGTGTTTATCAAAAGCTGTCCACACAAAATACTTCAGGTTCGCTGGCCAGACACCATCAGCAACCACTGTAGGAAAAAACAAACCAGATTCTAACAGAAGAAGAAATCAGGATGAAGCTCTGGAAGTGTCAGGAAACACATTGTGGAAAGCACTCAAATGCGTCACAAGACAAACTCTCACCTGGAATCCTCAGGGCCAACGGAAAACAAAGACCAACCAACACAATACGCCGAGAAGTGGGAGCAGACATAGGAAGAATGAACAACAGGTGGGCAGAAATAGAAATGAAGATCCAGGACAGAATAGGCTGTAAAGTGCTGATCGGCGGCCTATACTCCACTACATCACGAAGTCAGTTATTTATAAGCTCTTTTCAATGTTGCTGAGTAAAGATATTTTCTCATTTCTTTTGGTCCACCATAAGTACCTTGCTCGTAGGAAGACAGATAGCTCATATATCCACTCCGAAGAGTGAATAGTCAACCTGGGAGAACTAGTCCAAAAGGCGTACACCATTTTACGAGTTACGGCACCGTCCATACTCTGGACAGTCCAGAACTAAAATCAGCCATCTCAGCGCTGACATCTGTACTTATCATAACAAGTGAGGGTAAATCTCAACTAATGTTTGGTAAGGATAAGGCAATAAAACTCTGTTTTTCTATATCGAATAAGTATTTTACCTCGATTCGTGACTCTCGAAAAAAATTACTAAAGATAATTTGTACAGATGCAACTAACCATCTTGAGCAACTGCTCTTACAAATCACTCACTGACAGAAAGACTTTCAGTGAGTTCTCACTCTAATTACTGATGGCAGAGGGTCGCTAGCACAGAAGGAACCATAAACAACCACTCCAGTGATGCATTTAAAACCAGGATGGATACAAGGTCCCCCATGCCACATAAGGCAGCTTCCAGATGCATAGGTGCCAGACTAACATTATCCTTATTTGGCACTAACTGCAGACACGATACTGGAAGGATGGTCATCAAAAAGGAAGAACTACCGAGCAAACCATTCTGGCAAAGACTATTGCAGAGAATCAAAGACATGATAGAAACCTGGGTAGATCAACACAATGAACGTGATCTAGGTCATCAAGCAGGTCAAAAACACCTGGGCGATCTGGAAAGCTCTGTTGGTACCATCAAATTTTAGTGCCAAATCAACTAGATGCAGCCAAACATGTACTTCTTCTAAACAGGCTGTCAATGTATGGTACAAAAAATAGCTCCTAATGGGTCTCCACGACTGAGAAGGGGTGCCTAAAGTCACTTATTTAATGTTATAAGCAGAAATTGCAGCTTGAACTTTTTGATGAACACAGGTACTTTACTGAATGCCATTCCTCAAAAAAAACGGAACTTGGCCGGAAGATGCCCACAGTTAAATTTCAAAGTACAAACAAAACTAAAATCGCAACGTTTGGCAAGAAAACTCTAACTCTTGATCTTCGATTTAGGAAACAATTCCTATGGGTGTCCACTGTAGCCGATTTGCTTTTAGCACTACAGGGAATGGACATTTTAGAGATATGTGAATTTCTAGTAGACACTAAGGAATGGCTATTGTCACTAAGAGAAACTTCGTATGACGCAAGGGCGGGTCCCTTCGTAAGCCTTGGTACAAACGTTAGCAGTAACTACTGCAATGTTTCAAGGCTAACCAGCTCTAACCACCACTCTTTTAAAGGGTATTATCCGGCCCTCTGCTAGCTAACAGACATTCCGTCTACATATGGTTACTGACCGAAAAGGTGAGTAGAGGCCGTTAGAAGATAACTGACCTCTTAACCGCCAAACCATGCCAGATATTTTTATTTATTAGAAAACGTACCCAGCACTTCATAACAAAGATTTTATTGGGATTACGGGGTACTAATACTGACTTGGTCAGAACATACCAAAATGGCCCAGTATCTGAAGAAGATATTTCCAAGAACGCTAATCCCAAACCCTTTGAACTACTCCAGCTTGGACTCATGTCGTTCGTCCTAGGACCGCAGCAGAACTACTTCAAAGGTTTATAGACAATCTATTACAAGGTACGCATCCTGTCAATGATAAATAGACGATTTATTAATTGAAAACAATTAGTCCCTTTTAGAAATTTTGAGAGAACAGTGAGAAGACGTAAGTGATCTGAAAAATGTGATGTATTTGCGCTATACATATATATATTTATTTATTCTCAAATGATAAATAAACCATGTTCATCGATCGCAAAACGCATAATTGAGACAGGGCATAAGATTAACATCAAGACAGCCTTCAAAACATTGTATAGAAATGTTGAAGGACGAATTTTGAGGTTTATGGAGGCCTTGGCTATTAGAAAATTAAAACCCCCACCTGACTCTGAACATGATGAAGAGCGTAGTCAGCTTAGGCGCAGACTTATAAAAAGTCTGCGTAACGACCGCGAACAGTGGTGGGTGGCGAAAGCAAAAGCGATGGAAAAGGCAGCGGCGATAGGCAACACTAGACAACTTTTCCGCCTTATCAAAGAAACCGGTATTAAGAACCCGAATGTGAGTGAGACTATCTCGGAAAAGGATGGTCTTATTATCCATTCTCAATCCAGGAGGCTGGATCGATGGGCAGAACACTTTAGGGATCAGTTCAACTGGCCACGAGCCACTCTTCAGTTACCCACGATCTCCAGTCATCCTGAATGGCAAATCGACGTAAGTCCCCCTAATCTTTATGACGTTGAGAAAGCGTTAGGAAATCTGAAACGAGGACGAGCTGCAGGTCCTGATAGACTGACCCCTGAGATATTCAGGGATGGTGGTCCAGTTTTAGCAGCTAGATTGACTGAGATCTTAGGTAAAATCTGGGAACTGGACGTAATCCCATCCGACTGGTCTCAATCCTTGATTGTCCCAATCTATAAGAAAGGACAAAAGTCTTCTTGTGACAATCACAGGGGAATAAGTCTAACTAATATAGTATCTAAAATATTAGCCTCAATAATACTTCGACGCTTAACGAAAGCTCGTGAAGAGCAGACTCGAGAAAACCAGACTAGTTTTCGACCTGGACGTGGCTGTATAGACCACGTCTTCACACTCAGACAGGTCCTGGAACATAGACACACATTTAGGCGTCCTACAATAGTTGTTTTCCTAGACCTTAAAGCGGCATTTGACTCTGTTGATCGTGAGGTTCTGTGGCAGTGTCTGTCATTGAAAGGTGTACCAAAGAAGTACATTAACCTTATACAAGCTCTTTACTCGAACACCACTGGTCGAGTGAGGGCTTATGGCGAACTGTCACTGGAATTCTCTACATCAAGTGGTGTCCGTCAGGGATGTCCACTTTCTCCATTCTTGTTTAATTTTATCATAGACATGCTCCTAGACATAACATTATCCTCGTCTGAATTTTCAGGAGTAGACCTTCTTCCAGGTGGCTCGCTTATTGACTTAGAATATGCCGATGACATTGTCCTACTTGGTGAAGATGCTGACAAAATGCAGAGTCTTCTGACTACCCTAAGCAACAATGCAAGCATGTTCGGGATGCGGTTTTCCCCCTCGAAATGCAAAATGTTGCTTCAAGACTGGGTTGCATTGGCACCTGAACTAGTGATAGGGAGTGAAGTGGTTGAACGTGTAGACCGCTTCACTTATCTTGGGAGTCTCATCAGTGCCGATGGCCTGGTGACTGACGAAATCTCAGCTCGGATACAGAAGGCTCGATTGGCTTTTGCCAACCTGCGTCACTTATGGCGTAGGCGAGATATCCGTTTGCTGACTAAAGGACGAGTATACTGTGCGGTGGTTCGCTCCGTCTTTTTTTTTATGTCTGTGAAACGTGGCCAGTGAGAGTACAAGATATTCGTATGTTGCTGGTTTTAGGTCATAGGTGTCTTCGAAGCATTGCTCGAATATCGTGGGACACCCGAGTGAGCAACGCTGTTATTAGGAATCGGGTGCTAGGTAAGAATGGCAGATCAATCGATGAAGTATTGAAACTTCACCAGTTGAGGTGGTTGGGACATGTGTTGCGTATGCCCAACCACCGACTGCCTCGACGAGCTATGTTTTGTAGTGTAGGAGTAGGTTGGAAGAAAGTTAGGGGCGGCCAAACCAAAACATGGCAGAAATCCATGAAGTCATTGACTAGTGGACTGAGCCATGTCGG